AAGTTTCAAAGATGTATTTAGTTGAAAATTAGCAGGTCAGCATGATCCTGATGTTGGGAAAGGGACTAATCCAGGTTAGTTACCAATAGGGCATTGCCAACAGAGTGTGGGAGGGGAAGTATACATTCTTATCTTAAGAGACTGCAGGGGTGGGCCTGGTGGCGCAGCTGTTAAGTGCGCACATTCCGCTTCTCGGCGGCCCAGGGTTCGCCAGCCCGGATCTCGGGTGCAGACATGGCAACCGCTTGGCAAAAAGCCATGCTGTGGTAGGCGTCCCACGTATAAAGTAGAGGAAGATGGGCACAGGTGTTAGCTCAGGGCCAGTCTTTCTCAGTAAAAAGAGGAGGATTGGTGGCAGTAGTTAGCTAAGGGCTAATCTTCCTCAAAAAAAAAAAAAAGAGTGCATTCTCTATTTTTTAGTAATTTTTTTTTTTTCTGAGGAAGATTAGCCCTGAGCTAACATCTGCTGTCAATCCTCCTCCTTTTGCTGAGGAAGACTAGCCCTGAGCTAACATCCGTGCCCATCTTCCTCTACTTTATATGTGGGACACCTACCACAGCATGGCTTGCCAAGGGGTGCCATGTCCGCACCCGGGATCTGAGCCTGCGAGCCCGGGCTGCTGAAGCAGAATGTGCGAACTTAACTGCTGAGCCACTGGGCTGGCCCCTACATTCTTCAGTGGTTAAGCAGATGAACTATGTATGTTTGATAGGCCATCAGTCAGGCTTTTTAGTTCAAGCCGAATCAGTTTTGAACCCAAATAGTTACTCCATATGATGCGGGCTCGGCAAGCCAAGGAGTCAAAAGAAAGATTTCTCAGCCTCTCAGGGTCTGGTAGTAGTGCTCCTTTATTCAGAGAATAGCATGGAGTAGCACGGGGACAGGACCCATGGGCAGTGAAGAGCTGCAATGGGTTGAGAGTAGGGCTAAATTTATAAGGCATAGGTATGTGAGTTATTTCTTTACAAGACAAAGGAAAGATTATGTAAAAAAGTCATTAAAATGGTATCAGTGCAGGTGGGGTCTGGTTATTGGCTGGTCCTATAACTTTGGATACAAATCTGGTCAAATCAAGTCAGGATGTCCTATACTTCCCAGAGGATAATATAGATCGGTATGTAGGGCAGGACGCCTTGGACTTCTCTGCCTGGGGCAGCCTTGATCTGCATCACATATACCTCAATATGTGAAAATCTCTTGTCAGTAGGGAACATGTGGGCTGCTCCCTTTATATTTTCTTGTACATACAGAGTAGTTAAAGCATGGACTTTAGAGTTAGACAGACCTACATTTGATGAAGTGGGGTAAGAGAAAAGTGAAAATCCCAGCAGTAGAGCCCAGATTCTGAAGAAGCTTGTCAGGTTGACAGCAACACTGTGCTGACAGCTTTCTGTCTCTGTGTGCTTCAATGGATATGTGGGCACAGCCTCGGGTTGCCACAGCCCGTAAAGGTACATGGTGTCTGCTCGTGTGTCTGGGATGTCTTCAGCATGACTGACGTCTGATCTCTCCTGACCATGAGCTTCTCTGACCCTCAAACAGTCCTCTTTCATGCTGGATTGATTAATATAGAGAAGAGTTGATGATTAAAAGAAAGACTGCATGCCCCAAATAAGGGAATTATGAAGTAACTGCCAATGAAAATGTTCCAGGAGCAGGACCCCGCAGGGGAGTGAATGAAATCAGGCTGCGCTGAAGTGGAAATTTGAATTAAAAAGGGAAGATACATCTGCAGTGTGCAGGCTCCTGGTCATCCTTTTCCTCAGGACAGAGGCTAACACTCATGGTGTTTCTGCAGTGGGAAGACCCTGGGGGGAGCGGCCTTTGGAGACTGAGTCAGTTCCTCTTAGGACCTGCTTATTACTCCTTAGAGCTGAGAGAGAACCCAGGCCCAGCTCAGTTCTCCTGCAACCCTGCATCTGCCCTTGGGACTCAACGCCCAGAAATGGAGGAGAATCCTAGTCCTAGGATGAGGTCAGAGTCAGAGACTGGGGAGTCCCGAGGATTCCCAGCGGGATGTCAAGGAGCCAGAATGCCACAGTGGCATGGCCCATTCTGATTCCACTTGGGTAGTTGTGGTATAATAAGAAATATATTTGTTTTTTGTTCCCAGTTCCTGGCATAGAGCTCCTAAAACCCTTGGAAGCTCCAGAGTGATGAGCATCTTATGGTATTCATAAGGCACCCCTTTTGAGCACACCTAAGTTTATGCTGATGAGATGGTTTAAGGTGGAGCCCCTCAATAGCCTCAGGATAGGGCAGGTCACTGGAAAGATGTCGTGATTAGAGAGTTGGAACTTTCAGCCCCACCCAGTGACCTCCAGGAAGGGAAAGACAGAGGCGGGCTGCAGATTGAGCGCTATGAAAAGTTTTGAACAAGATTTGATGAGCTTCTGGGTTGGTGAATACATCTATATGGAGGGAAGGTGGCGCACCCCAGTTCAACGGGGACAGAAGCTCCTGCATTTGGGACCCTTCTCGGCCCTGCCCTATGTACCTTTTCATCTGTGTGTTTGTCTGTATCTTTTATAACATCCTTTATAATAAACTGGTAAACATAAGGAAGTGTTTCTCTGAATCCTGTAAGCCACTCTAGGAAATTAATCGAAACTGAGGAGGGGGTTTTGGGAACCTCCAATTTATAACTGGTCAGTCAGAAGCACAGGTGACAGCCTGGACTTGCAATTGGCTTGCGAAGTCAGGGCAGTCTTGTGGGACTGAGCCCTTAACCTGTGGGATCTGATGTTATCTCCAGGTAGATAGTGTCAGAATTGAGTTAAATTTGTAGGACACCCAGTCAGCATCCCCTGAGAACTGGAGAATTGCTTGGTGGTGTTGGAAAACACTCCAGGAGTCGATGCCTAAGGCTGAGCTGGACACATAGCTTTGGCAATGACTGACCTGGTTCTGGCCCCAAATCCCTTCCACTTCATCCTCTGTGGCAGGCCTTGACCTACCCGACTCAGAGTAATCCAGTAATCTGGTCTCTAAACAGGGGAAATACTTAGAAGCTTAGTTTTCTTGCATAGCCTGGGGTAGAGGTGGGTGGTGACCCATCTGGACCTTATTTCCTGGTTCCAGGAACTGGCATTTTGCCTGGATTTTTAGTAGTGGGCACTCTGCATCATTCAATGACCCTGCCACCCAAATTATTTAAAGTGGATTTTCTATTACCCCGGTGTTTCTAGGGCCTGACCAACTCCTTGCAGCATTGGAGTTTATCCCCAAATTAAAGGACCTTTTCTTTAGAGTTACTGCTTGCTAGGACATCTGCCTATTACAGCTTTAAAAAAAAAGAGAAAGAAGAAAAAGGCTGCCTGAGGTCAAGCTCTGGCTGCTGGTAGTGAAAGGTCTCCCTCCCTACAGTGGCTGTTGCTAACAGCTGAACCTCCAGATTCCAACCTCCTGAAGGATCCCCAGGCCCACCCTATGCCACCCCGTGAACTGGCTCCATGACCCTTCCCATGCGCAGGCTCTCAAAGCCCCTTCTTGGGAGGCACCACCCCCACCACCAGCCAGTCCCAGCCTGATAAAGTTAGGGGTTTTTATGTTGTGTGTGTTTTCATCTCTACTCTACTCAGCCTTTTTCCTCCTCGTTTTTTTTGCGAGGACTGTATTTGTCTGGGCTCCGGCTTCCCCAGACATATGGATGACCTGTTCATCTGACACAGTATCTCTATATCCAAGGCACTTCCTTTCAAAATGGGTAGAGGAGGTTCTATGTGCTATTCCAGAGGTCATCTTTGGAGAGATAATGGGGTTTGAGGAAGAAAACAACGACATGGTTTATTTGCTCTTTTCACAAGCTAGCCACTGAGTGAACTTTGGAATTGACTCTGTGATACCTGATGGTGTAAAACTCTAACCAGGGAGTGCTGGATTACACCACCATGGCCAGCACTGGCCAGGAAACCCCACATGGAAAGACAGACCTCAGAAGAGGTGGCACATGTGAATGCATCACCCAATGCCACAAGGGTCAGTATCTGCCCATTTTGAAAACTTCCTCTGTCGCTGTTCCCTCAAGCCACCGTGGGATTTTCCTCCCTTCTTTCATTCTTTCATCACCAGACATCTCAAGCAGATGACTGGAATCTGCTGCATCCCTTCCCTCATCACTCGCTTAACTGCAGCCCTGCACGCACAGGCTCTAGACCTGGGGCACTTGCTCTCTCAGAGGTCACAGGGCTCTCCTCAGTGTAAACTCCAATGGATCTTTTCCTATTTCCCTTTTCCCTGTCCTCTCTGGGGCATACGGGCACAGTGCTCCCACCCACCCCTTCCTGACATTTTCTCCTCTCTGGTCTCTAGGACTCTAGGACATCCCGTGTCTCCTCCCTCTTTCTCAAGATATTTCCTTCAAGGGCTTTGCTTTCTCTCCTCAAAGATTGGACCCTCAAGGTTTGGTCCGATCTGTTTAGTGAAATCCCCTCCCAGAGAGCTTGCTTGGACATAATAGACTAACTCTCTCTCCCCCTGGAAGTTGATGCTTCTCAGGTCTAGATCCCTAGACCTGACTTCTGACCTCCACCTACATTATCACTGGCCTGCTCTGTCTATCCCTTGAGTACACCTCCCCCCAACCTCCAACTCATCTTTTTGGAAGCAAAGTCAACTTCCTATGCCCTGAACTTGTTCTCCTCCTGGACAGCCCTATTTCCATTAAGTCTGCCAATATCCTCACATTCTAGACTTAGAACCCAGGAGTGACTTTTTAGCATCCCCTTTCTCTTGTTCCTTACCTATAAATAGTAAGAGTCTTCATTATATCTTACTAATATCAAGTACTATTTTTGTTTTAAAAAAAGGTTTAAAAATATTTTCAGGAGTATATTTTCCCACCATGATCCCCCTCCACTAATATTAGTCTTAATTATATACATTTAATTTGTTACTGGGTCAATGTCTCCTTTTTAAATGATTGGATTATTAGCATTTAAATGTCACCTTAAGTACTTCTTCTTCTGATTGTAAGCGTATCCCAACTCCCTTCTCCTAGGCTTGTCTACAAATACAGAGGCTGTTTCCCCACATGCAGGAGTGGCCATGAGACTGGGCCTGACCAGTGAGATTCAAGAGGAAGTCTGCTGATTGATCTATTGGGTGAGGCTTTAAATATATGATGACTCGAGTTTTTAATCCAATTCCTATAGTTTCATTTTTTTTTAAAGATTTTATTTTTCTTTTTCTCCCAAAGCCCCCCGGTACATAGTTGTGTATTTTTAGTTGTGGGTCCTTCTAGTTGTAGCATGCGAGATGCTGCCTCAGCATGGCTTGATGAATGGTGCCATGACTGTGATCAGGAGCCGAACTGGTGAAACCCTGGGCTGCCAAAGCAGAGTGTGCGAACTTAACCACTGGGCCATTGGGCCAGCCCCCTATAGTTTCATTTTTTTTAAGTTGAGATACAATTGACATATAACATTGTATTAGGTTTAGGTGTACAATGTAATGATTTGATAGATGTGTATATTGCGAAATGATCACCACAATAACTTTAGTTAACATCCATCACCACACATAGTTACAAATTTTTTTCTTGTGATGAGAACTTTTAAGATCTATTCTCTTAGTAATTTTCAAATATACAATACAGTATTGTTAACTGTAGTCACCATGCTGTACATTACATCCCCAGGACTTACATATCTTATTACTAGAAGTTTGTGTCTTTTGACCATCTTCATTTATTTTGCCCATTCCCCACCCCCTACCTTTGGCAACCACCAATCTGTTTTCTGTTTCCATGAGTTAAGTTTTCTTTTTTTTAGATTCCACATATAAGTGAGATCATATAGTATTTGTCTTTCTCTATCTGACTTATTTCACTTAGCATAATCCCCTCAAGGTCCATCCACATTGTTGCAAATGGCAAACTTTCTTTCCTTTTTTATGGCCAAATAATATTCCGTTGTATATATACACCACATTTTCTTTATCCAATTGTCTGTTGATGGACACTTAGGCTGTTTCACCTGTATTTTCTTATTAAAGAAACAGAATAATTTCTACCCGGGAAGTCTACACTTCAACCATGTTCTCAGGGTCCTTTACATCCACCTGGTGTCTCTCTGAGGCAGAGAGACAACTTCATCACCTGCACATCTCAATGGATTTTGTTGGGAAGAGGAGACCAGGCACAGAAAGCAGATTCTTGGTTACCGAAGTCTGGGGGGAGGCAAGAAGGAGAAGTAACCACCTACTGGGTATGGACTTTCCTTTCGGAGTGATGAAAATATTTTGGAACTAGGTGGTGGAGGGGTTTGTACATATTGTGAATGTATTAAATGCTACTGAATTGTTCTCTTTAAAATGGTTAATTTTATATTATCTGAACTTCACCTTGATTTTAAAAATAAGAGTCTCACTAGCAGAAACATCATTCTGCCCTCCTCAGTGTCCCCAGGAAGAGGAGGAATGGGGAAAGGTGTGGTAGCAGCAGCATGTAGGTAGGTGCATGAGTCACAAACTGATGAAGACCAAGAATTCTCCACGCTCTTTCCTTCTCTCTCGTGTTTTACTTAGGAGTATTCACTGGGAAATGGACTGGCCTCACATCAGAACCAAGAGAAAAGGAAAGAAGTCTGTAGTAACTTAGGAAGAGCAGGTCATAAAAAAATTTCCATTATTATGAAGGCAGACACAAAACACATATGAATAAAGAGTTAGTTGCTTGATACAAACATAAAGGTTCATTGTTATATAGCTGTTTTTTACATTAAAAATAAAGTTCCCAAATATTGTTCTGACTTGTGTAATTTTGAGAAAGAGGGATTCAGCAACTTAGCCAGAAAAATCACTGCTGTGATTGCTTTCTTTTTATTCACACCATGGAGACCACTCTCTGAAGCCCTTTCCTTGAATCATTGTAGACTCGACTGCTCCCCAGACCCGGAGATCATCTCTTTTCACGAAGAGCTTGTTTGCAAAATGTCCCTCCATACTGAAAGGAAGGTCCTGACTGAACTAAAACTTCTGGGCCCCTTCTCCCCACAGCTGGGACCAGCTGGCCTTTAGCTGCAGGCTCAGCCTGGGTTCTCAGGCCTCGGGACAATTCTAAACTTTGGGCGGGCAGGGCCTGCCTGAGATGTGGTAGCACCCTCTTGAAGCTGATAATTTGTAGTTCCTTTTGATATTTTTTCAACATTTATTTTATGGGAGCTGCACTGGTGCTTTTAGGTAATGTTTGTTCTTGGTGTTCTTTTAATTTTTCCTCGAGGGGGTTGAGCCAGTTGGGTTTCAGCAGGTGTGGAAGTGGCTCCTTACGGAAACCTGCATGAAAGGGTGCCCTGGTGCTGACTCATTCCTGGTGGTTCTAACCCCTAGGATTGGTGCTCAGGCCAGGGCTTGAGTGGCCCCGATCTGGATCTTGCAGGAGGAGTTCTGTGTGGCTTTATATCTTATTCAATGCTTAAGCAACTTGGTGTCAAATCAGCTCTGAGCCTGCCCGTCTGTGGTGTTTAATAATGAAGATATGTATTAGGGCCTCGCTGGGGCAGGGGGCGTGGTGGTGGTGGGGGGAGTGGTGGTGTTGGGGGAGTGGGGGGTGGCTGAAGTACCCAAATATCTACCAGTGTCTCCCTGACATCCATTATCCTGTACCTGACATTCCTCTGAATTTATCATATTCTCAGATCTTTTGAATGATATGGCTTTTGCCATTTTGTATCCAGTGGGCACATATGACAAGATTTCAGCCCAGTAAATGACCAAAGAGGTCTTGATCTTATTGCATCATGTTGATTTACCTAAGTTAGGACATTGTGATGCAAGCGAATAAAAATAGCAATCTCTTTAAATATTTAGGTTTGTGAAGATGAACACTTTGGCAGTACAAGAAGAGGAAAGGAAGGGAAATGAACATTCGTTTATTCATAACTCACAATGGTTGTATCTCACTAATGAGGAACAGAGGCGAAGCAAGCTCAAGATCTGCTACAACATCCACTTCCAGACAGTGGCGGAGCCGGGACTCAGCCATGGGGATTGTGGTCAGAGAGCTGAGCTTCTGCTCCCACCTCACAGCAAGTGATCATTTGCTGTGAGGTGGCTCCCTTGCTTGCCCAGAGCACTGATGTCTTTGTATGATATTTTTCCCATTACAAAACACATTACATTTTAAAAAATAGTAAATTTTATTTAAAAAATTAATTTCAAAGGGAAGAGATAGAACAAGAAAAGTCTGTTTTCTTTTGGATCTATAGAAAGAGCAGTATTTATTCTTTATGCAATGAAATTTACAATCTGAGTGAGGCCTTTCAGAGCCAAGCAGTTATGTTCAGCCAGTGGCTAGCCGTGCATTGAAATCCCATGATGTATACAAGAACAGCCTAGGCCTGAAAGCAAATGCTGTACGCACCTGTTTATTTATTTATTTATTTTGGTGAGGAAGATTGGCTCTGAACGAACATCTGTTGCCAATCTTCCTCTATTTTTTGTATGTGAGATGCTGCCACAGCATGGCTTGATGAGAGGTGTGTAGGTCTGTGCCCAGATCTGAACCCATGAACCCCAGGCCACTGAAGTGCAGTGCACAAAGTTAACCATTATGCCACCGGGCCAGCCCTGACATTGTCTGTTTTTAACAGTGAATTAGTGCTCTTCTGGGCTTTGAATCAATCAGTCTTTTGCTTCTGTCCTTCCACACTGCTGTGCTTGCTGCTCAATGAGAAACACTTGAAGGATGATGCGTTTTCTCTACCACCCGTTGCCACAGTCTTCTTTCTGAATCTGCCTTCCTTCTTCAATTGTAATAAATGCAGACACGTATCTACTTCATCATTTGCCCTGTGGTAAATCCAAAGACTGTAGCTAGACACCTGCAGGGCCTCAGCTGAGAGCTGAGTGGATTGTCTGTTTAAAGAAATTCACACTGAGTTGTTAATGAGGCTTGGCAAGACAGTAATTGCTTTTAAAGGAGAAACTGGTTAACACAAATGTATCTATAATTGGTGTATAGTGGGAAGGGACATTTTTGGACAGGGACCACTGGTATTCTTCTCTTCCCTGCTCCCTCACCCCGCCCTTAGTTAGCCAAGAAAGAAAATTCAGGTACCAACCTTGCATCTAAGTCCCTTGACAATTCTGCTTCTTTTGGAAAACAAAGCATCACCTGAGAGCTGGGCTTCTAGAATCCATACGCTGTATGTCTTAATCCTATCTTAAGTAAAAGAGCCCATGGTTTCACAGCATAGCATTAAACCCAGTGCTATAATGCTAGCATTCACGGTGCCAATATCTAGACCTTGTTTAGATGAGAAGAAATATGCCACTATCATTTCAGGTTTTCTGTCTCTTATGACCTAACCTAATCCTAAATCATAAGGTCTGTATATCCAAAAAGGCAGAGATTTTTGGGTAGTGAATCCTTAAAGTAATACTACCAGCCTCTTTGTTGTAGTCCAACTAGTCCCAGTTTCTTTTGAAACAAGATATTAGATGCTAAGTTGAGGTGTCATTTAGTTCTGGTTGCAGAGCAAATCCTGAACGTGAATCCAAGCTTATAATATTTGTAGGTCTAAGCATCCTTAGGGCTTGAGGGATGTTTACTGAATGTTGATTGTGTGCAAGCTCTGTGCCGGGCATGTCAAAGACGCTGCTCTGCCCTTATTCTGCTTTGTGATTTCTGTGGATTTGAGAGCAAAGTATAATGCAGTGAAGGAGAGGAGGGAAAGAAATATTTTGAAGCATTTTCCCAGACGCTTCTTTCTAAGCCTCTCAACTCGAAGCAGTATATTCCTTTTCTGTTTCTACAAGGATGCTCCCAGATAGATACCAGGCGAGCATGGTCTGGGTTCCTGCTCTTGCCTCTCCCTGCCCAGGCTGACAAGGGCCCATTTGTGTGGGGATTACACATCTTTCAAGAAGCCTGCAATATCTCATTTACTTCTCACAGTAACTGCTGGGTACTATGTTCATCTCTGCTTTATAGTCGAAGAGTCGGGTTAAATCCCCCACTTCCCTCACTTGCTCCAGGCATATCCGTCTTTTATTTTATTTTAATTTTATTTTTTTGAGGAAGATTAGCCCTGAGCTAACATCTGCCACCAATCCCCCTCTTTTTCCTGAGGAAGACTGGCCCTGAGCTAACATCTGTGCCCATCCTCCTCTACTTTATACGTGGGACACCTGCCACAGCATGGCTTGCCAGGCGGTGCCATTTCCGCACCCGGGGTCCGAACCGGCAAACCCTGGGCTGGCGAGAAGCAGAACGTGCGAACTTAACTGCTGTGCCACTGGGCCACCCCGAGGCATATCAGTCTTTAGCTGTTCATTTATGGCTGTTCTTTCCAATCCTTTGCCCACGTTATTCCCTCTGCCCGGAAAATGCCTTTCCTCTTACTTGTCATCTGATTGATATTCAGACTTCAGCTTAAATATCACTTCCTCAGCAGCGCTTTCCATGCATTCTCTACCTAAATTAGGTTGCCCTTATTATTATCTCTCACAGCTCCTGTTTTTTTCTCTTTAGATTGATTACCAGAATTTATATTGAATAATGCAACACAATTTAATATATTATATTGAGCACATACTAGGAGCCAGGCAGCGTTTTAGGCTTTGAGGATACAACAGTGAAAAGGCATTTGTTCTTAACCTCATGGAGCTTCCAATCTAGTGAGGGAGACAGTTGGAAAACATGTCAAGTACACATAGAAGTGTGTCATGTGTCGTGCCAAGGACACATGTAAGTGTGATGAAGTCATGCTATATCCCCTTGCATGACTTGTTTTGGTATGATTTTGGATCAGGTGTCAAGAACAGGTCTCTTTGATGATGTGACATTTAAGCTGGATGAACTGAGGGAACAAGCCTTATCAGGGGAAGAATAATCCAGGCAGAGGGAAAGCAAGTGCAAAGCAAGAAAGCTGGAGCTGAAGGATCTGGGGGAGAGACGCGTATCTACAGATAGGAAAATGGCTAAATGAATTATGTTATATGTTAGGGTATCGCAGAGCTATGAATTATTAATATCACATAGCTATTTACTTTTGTTCATTATTTTGACATATGCAAAACCTATTCCTCTCTATATTCTTTGTGTGTGTGTAGCTACATGTTCTATATTTCTTTTATTTATCTGGAATTTAGTTTGGTGTGAAGTGAAACTCTGAACATTTTTCTAAATTTTTCCTCCTTTTTTACGTATTAAGTTTTTTTTTTTAAAGATTTTTTTTTTCCTTTTTCTCCCCAAAGACCCCCAGTACATAGTTGCGCATTTTTTTTAGTTGTGGGTCCTTCTAGTTGTGGCATGTGGGATGCTGCCTCAGCATGGCTGACGAGCAGTGCCATGTCCATGCCCAGGATTCGAACTGGCGAAACCCTGGCCAGCCGAAGCAGAGCGCGCAAACTTAACCACTCGGCCACAGTGCTGGCCCCTGTATTAAGTTTTTATATATAGTAGGACGGACCTTGGGATGTTGGTTCCATTCATCTGACTGTTGTGTCTTAGGCCAATGTCCCATTACTTTTTTTCCCCTACTTTATTACAACAAGTTTCCAAACTAAAAGAAAAATAAAAGAATAATATATATATAATGAACACCTATTTCATTGCCTTGATTCAACATTTATATACCATTTGCCTTATTTGGTTTATACGGCTATCTTTTAAGTTTCTGTACTACTTCAAAATAAGTTGCAGACATCATAACCTCTCTCCCTAAATACTTCATATACATCTTGTAAGTATAAGAACACTGCCCTACATAGCCATTATCACACCTAAGATAATTAACAAAAATTCCTTAATGCCATGTAATACCAAGGCTTGCCCTTTTTTTTTTTTGAGGAAGACTAGCCCTGAGCTAACATCTGCCACCAATCCTCATCTTTTTGCTGAGGAAGACTGGCTTTGAGCTAACATTTGTGCCCATCTTCCTCTATTTTACATGTGGGACGCCTGCCACAGCATGGCTTGATAAGTGGTTCGTAGGTCCTCATCCGGGATCAGAACTGGGGAACCCCAGGCTGCTGAAGTAGAACATGCAAACAACTTCTGCGCCACTGGGCTGGCCCCCCAGTCTTGTCTTTTATAGCTAGTGTTTTGAGCCAGAATTGAATCAGGATTCTTATGTATATCACATTGATGTAATTTTTGAAGTTCTGTCCTCATTAGTCTTTATGGTAAAAAAAAGTCCTAATAATTCTTGTTTCTTATTTCACATAAAATTTAGACCTATTTTGTAAAGTTCCAAAAATTACTATTAGATTTTTATTAGACTTCAAATAAACCTATACGTTATTTTGTGCAGAAGTGATCATTTTTACCATATATAAGTTTTCCTTATAGGATCATCTTATATCTCAATATTTATTAAAATATTATTTAATTTCCTTGGTGTTAAGATTGTTCTTAAGTATTTAGTATTATGTTGCTATTATGAATGCAATTTTTTCTCATTGTATTTTCTAAGTGATCATTGCTGATGTAAAGGAAAAGTATTGAAACTCTTATCAGATGTCTTGGAACAGTTATTAGTTCAAATTGTTTTCAGTTGATTATTTTAATTTTTCTAAGGTGTTGTTCACAATGCATCTGCACATCCAATATTTAATTCAGTTTCAAGCTTTAATACAAAGGCTGTGTTTTCCAAAATAATGTTAAATAAACGTGTTGATTGTGGACATCCTTGCTTGTTTCTAGATTTGTTTCACAATAATTTTATGATGTTGACTCTTTGTGAAAAATTCTTATTCTCTCCGCTCCATCGAGGACACCTTTCTTGGTCAAATATCCCTTTATCTAACTGATTAGTTTGCAGCTATCTTTAGTTATATTCTAGTTCTGAAAAAAGACTTATATGTTTGATGGGAATGCTCCATATATATGATATTTACACAACATCTAGAGCTGAATTCAAGGAAGCAACTACACAAAAGAGGACCAACTTGGATCAACATTGAGATATTTTCTTCTAGTCATAAGAGTGTGACAATCTTTCCTGAGGTGGGATAGTGGTAAATGAAAACTGTATGTATTTTCCTGAGAAACTCATGTCACTTAACTCTACAGTAAAGTAAGACTACTTTCTTTCTTGTAGATTCCTGGTTATGTAAGATCTCATCCTAAAGACTCTCAGTCAAGGGCTGTTAGAGTTCAACAGTTCAAACCAGCCTTGCAGATAGGATTTTAAAACCTATAGAGAAACTATCAGTTACAAGGAATTACTTCCCCAAATCATGGCTGTAATGACCTACAGGTGTGCTGGCTTAACATGAGAGAGTGTATCCATCAGGTTCAACCAGGAAATCAGAAATCACTCTGGGCATTTCAAGCAGAGAGTTATACTGGGAACCAAGTGTTTACAACAACACTGAAGAAGAGACAGTCAGGGGAAGCTGCCACTGGCTTCCAGGTTTGCACTGTTCCTATGGTCCTGCAAATCAGTTAAGTTGTGGCTACCATACAGGTCAGGAAATTATGGGA